AAAAAATCCAATGTTAACAGAATAGAATTTTGAATAGTACACAAATATTTATTTTTCATATAAAGGCATAGAGATGTAAAATACTTTCCCTTTATTATTCCTATTTGTGAAAACAGTTGGTATTTATAATAGATATCCCAAAATTGGAAAAATGAAGGTAGTGAAACTATTATAATAAACTACAGATTTTTAAGGGCAAAAACTTTTTCCAGATTCCTTCCTGATGGACCAATATTAAAATTCAATGGGTTTCCTTAGACTTGACTATAGACAAGAAATTTTTTCTTGTTATCAGCTGTGGTTTATTATTCACCTTACTCTGAGTTCTACCAGAAAATAATAAACAACAACAAAAATAAAAAAAGAAAATCTTTAAGTTTAGAAAAGACTTCAGAAGTCATTTAGTCTAACTGCAAAATTAGTGCATCAAAGTCTTCTACATAAGCCATGGTCTCCTATGTAGGTCTAGCGATGGGAATATATTACTATATGACATACTTATTGGATGTGTTTGAATGCTATACAATCGTAAAATTTGCTTCCTGGTAATTTGGGCCTAGCTGTAATAAGCTATTTGAACTGATAAAAAATTTCTTTGTAATAAGCCTACATATCTTTGAAGAAACAAAATAAATGACCCCAATTTTCTGTTTTGTAGGCTAACCAACTTCACTTCTAGCCACTTCACTATTCTCTGTATAGTCAATTCAGTTTCTCGTGTCTCCCTTAAAATGTAGTCTCTGGAAGTAAGCACACAGTTTTAGATGTAGTACAAAAGGCAGTAAATTACAAATTGCATTTTCTATTATTGTGACTAAAGATTATGTTAGCATTTTGATGTGTAGCCAACTTAAATCCCCAAATATATTACATTTGAACTTTTGGTAGATCACTTTACTTTGACAAACTGTAAAAAGTTAATGCGAGAGCTCGTAGTAAGCTGGACTACTTTTACAAATAACGATGTGTAAGTGATAGCAATTCAACAAAGCCTAGTAAGCCAAATTTTCACTAAGTGGATAATGAATTTTAGCCCAAACACATGTACAACATACCTCTTTGATAAAGTATTTGGTTTTCCAGGGTGTGCCTGTTTCAGTACGATGCCTTTCTTCAGTCCTCTGGCATTCTTCCAAGGTACGTTTATGCTCTGTGGCTTTATCAATTTCAGATTCCCTTAGAGCGTCTGTCACATTTTTCCATAATCGCCTGAAATCCGAAAAACTTCATATTTTAGACATTCTTTTTTTTTTNACTATTGATGCGTGCTACTTCAGGGATGAACCTCAAAAACATGCTAAGGAAAGAAGCCAGCCAGGCAATAAGAGTTTACATTACAGAAAACAGATTAGTGGTTCCCTTGGGGCTGCCGGTGGCAATGGGTGTTAACTGTAAAAGGGCATGAGGGATTTTATGGTTAGATAAAAAGATTCTAAAACTGATTTATGGTAATGATTGCACCATTCAGGATAGTTACTAAAAACCTGTGTACACTTGAAACAGTTGAATTTTATGATATATAAAATACATATTGATAAAGCTTTTTTTTTTTTTTTTTTTTTTTTTTTTTTCNATCCGAACCCTTGGCGGGAGCGCCGCTGTGCTCCCAAGCGGCGCACTCTCCAGTGCGCCACTGGGCCGGCCCTAGACATTCTTGAAAAAGATAATTAAATACAACTGGTACCCTAAAAATTACAATAATTTTTTTTTTTTCTTTTTTGTCTTTTTTTCTACTGACCGGTAATGGGATCGCAACCCTCGGTGTTGCGCCCGCACCGGGGACCGGCAACGGGATCGCAACCCTTGGTGTTGCGCCCGCACCGCACTCAGCCAGTGAGCGGGAACCGGTCTCCACATGGGATCCGAACCCTCGGCGGGAGCGCCTCCACGCTCCCAAGCAGCGCGCTCTCCAGTGCGCCACCGGGCCGGCCCTACAATAATTTTTAAAAATTACTTTTCCTAAAGTAGATTTATAATTTCATGCCTATGAGTTACAAGAACACTGATACTATGCTGCCGATATTTATGTCCAGGATGCTGCTGCTTCTGCTTCTTTTTATATTAAAAATAATTTGCATTGTTACAAGTTATAAAAGCAAGGTTTTTATTTTTAGGAAACAGGAATTAACAAGTAAAAAAAGAAATTTTTTTTTAAAAGCTGAAATGTTAGAGAGACCACCCGTACTTTGGACATGATGAAATAACAGAGACCAGATTTACTCTCCTGCCTTAATCTACTAGACAAGCACATGAAATAATGGTTTTCAGATACTGAGCAAAAGGCACTGCATGACAGTGACCTTTGAAAGAAGAGAACAAAGGAGGCAAGGGTCCAATGAGTTCTCATACTGAGCAAAAAGCAGTGTAAGACAGTGACCTTTGAAAGAAGAAAACAAAGGTGGGGGTCCTGTGAGTTCTCCAACTCACTGCCTGGGGAGTTTATAGGCCACAGCAGAGGGAAGAAGAAGCTTAACAAACCTCAAGCAAAAGAAAACTGCCAAGACAATTCCTTAAGGAAAGAATAGTTTATTAAATGAATGGTGCTGGGACAACTGGACATACATGTGTAGAAAGATGAAATTTGACTCTCACCTCACACCATGCACAGAAATTAACTCAAAATGGATCACAGATCTAAATGTAAGAGTTAAAACAATAAAACTTTTAGAAGGAAATATAGGAAAAAAGCTTTGAGACTTCAGGTTAGGCAAAGATTTCTCAGATATACCATAAACCATAAAAGATACCAAAACCACAATCCATAAAAGACAACACTGATAATCCTATCTCGTAAAAATTAAAAACTTTCATATTGTGAAAAGCACCATTAAGAAAATGAAAAGAGGAACAATAGACTAAGAGAAAATATTTACAAAACATATATCCAGGGCCGGCCCGGTGGCGCACTGGATAGTGCGCCGCTTGGGAGGCGCGGCGGCGCTCCCGCCCGAGGGTTCGGATCCCACATACAGACCGGTTCCCACTCACTGGCTGAGCGAGGCGCGGGAGCAACACCGAGGGTTGCGGTCCCGTTGCCGGTCCCCGGTCTTGTACGGGGGGAACACTGAGGGTTGCGATCCGTTGCCAGACACGGAAAAAGACAAAAAAACAAAACAAAACAAAACAAAAAAAAACATATATCCAATAAAGAATTTATATCCTGAATTTACAAAGAACTCCTGTAATGTTATAAGACCAACAATCTAATAAAAAAAATAGGCGTGGCAATTTTAATATCAAAGTAGAATTCAAAGCATGAACTACTACCAGGGATAAAGAGGAGCATTTCAAGATGGACAAGGGAGGGGGCTGGTCAGCTCGCTCAGTTAGTTATAGCACAGTGTTATAAAACCAAGGTCAAGGGTTTGGATTCCTATACCAGCCAGAAAAAAAAAAAAAAAAAAAAAAAAAACCATCGAGAGGACACAATAATCTTAAATGTGCATACCCCTCATAACAGAGCTTCTAATAAAATGAAGTTAAAACTTACAGAAGTACAAGGAGAAATATTCAATTATAATTGGTAATTTCAATAACTAATCTCAATAACCAAACTCAATTGATAGAACAAGTACACAGAAAAGCAGTAATGACACAGAGGACTAGAAAAATACTGTCAATTCACTTGACCTAACCGACATTTATAGAATACTCTTACCTAACATCAACAGAATATACATTCTTGTCAAGTGTACATGGAACATTAACCAAGATAGGACATATTCCGGGCCATAAAACAAATCCAAGTAAATTTAAAGGATTAAAACCATACAAAGTACATTCTCTGACCAAAATGAAATCATAGTGTTAAAACATCAAGGTCAAGGGTTTGGATTCCTATACCAGCCAGCTGCCACCCCCCCCCCAAAAAAAAAAGGAAAGAAAAGAAATTAAGTTAGAAATAAGTAATGGAAAGATAACTGGAAACCTCTAAAGATTTGGAAATTATCAAAATATTTCTAAATAACTTGATGAGTCAAGAACAAAAAACAATCACAAGGGAAATCAGAAAATATTTTCAAATGAAAACACAGCAAAAGTTGTGGGATATAAATAAAGCAGTCCTTAGAGGGAAATATACAGCATTAAGCTTTTAGGAAAGAAGAAAAAATCACCTAAACCAGGGGTCAAACTATGGCCCACCACCCATTTTTGGAAATAAATTTTTATTGCAACATAGTAACATTGAACCATTTACTTATTGTCTATGGCTGCTTTCATGCTACAATGGCAGAGACCATCCGGCCTGCTAAGCCTAAAATATTTACTCTCTTGCCTTTTACGGAAAAAGTTTGCTCACTCCTCACCTAAGCTTCCACTTTAGGAAACTAGAAAAAAGAATAGAAAATGATGCACAAAGTAAGTGGATAAATGGAAATAAAACAGATAAAAGCAGAAATCAATGAAAAAGAAAACAGAAAAATAGCCAAAATCAATGAAACCAAAAGCGAACCAGCTTTTAATTTTACTGAGTAAAATTAATAAACCTTTAATCACACTAATCAGGAAAAAAGATATTACCTACATATAGAATGAATGTGGTAACATCACTGTAGATCCTACACAGATCAAATGAATAATAAGAGAATATTAACTATATGCCAGTAAATTTGACAAATTAGATGAATCAATTCCTTGAAAGACACAAACTACCAATGGTTACTCAAGAAGAAATAGATAATCTTAATAGCCTTACATGCTAAAGATTTAAATTTGTAGTTAAAAACTTTCCACCAAAGGTAACTATAGACCAATATCCCTCATGAATATACACACAAGAAATTCTTAACAAAATTTTAGCAAATAAAATCCAGCAGCATTTCTTTAATGTCTGGCTTAATAATAGCCAAATTTTTACTTTTTAAAATGGTCGATGTGATGGTATAGCCAAATTCACATATCAGTTTCTACATTCAATCTGTTGTGATATATTGTTTTAGCAAACACATATAAAGGAAATCTGGCCTCACACAGATATATTTGGAAAAGGGGAAGATATTTTCAGAGATTTTTCAAATAATTCAAATTTTTCATACTGTATCAAAACTCAGCAAGTGGTTGTCCTTTAAAGGTTAGCTGCAATGTGGGAAACTGAAAAATGTCCATTAATTTTTCAATTAATTTACATGGAAATCTTTGGGCTAACTTATACCCTTAAATGGATCACTTACCTGTGCATGATTCCGTAATACCATGCACTAATCATTTGAAAAATACTATTTCACTGAGTTATGCAGACCTTCCAGATGCGGACATATTTCATTACATAATGTTTTTAAAAATCACGTTCATTAATATCATTACCAATTTCAACAGAAAACTCTTTACTTGGGAAGCTTTCAAGTTCATGGTGGCAGATACAAATTTTCCAAAATTCTGGGTTTGCCTTGAAGCTCAAATTTTATTATTAGAAACAAATACTGTCAGTTGTTTTTCTTGAAGTATCACATCCACATCTTTCATTTGTAAGAAAAATGTCTGCCCAATATTAAAATTAGATTAATAATGTCATTGTCTGACAAAATTTGTCTGTCAATCATTCATCTAATGAAAAATGGTGTTTCATGAAGAGTGATTAGTTCCACTTGTGACTCAAATGCCTGCACAAGTGCTTTTCCTCCAGATACCCACCAAACTTCAGTATCCAGTACAAGTGCTTTATGCATAAAGCTCTCCATTTGTCAAAAAGAATACTGAAAAGACATGTATGCAGAGGTCCATATTTAATAAAACCAATAATTTGTACTGCTTTTTCATGTTAAGAGTAACTGGCATCTTAAAAAATGTGAGCACATGGCAGTGAAGAATATAATGACTACTTACATACCTTGGTGCCAGTGCCTTGATTAGTGCAAAGGCCCAGCCCTGCTACCCACCATTCCTTTGCACCATCAATCCAAGTGCCCACAGAGTGAGAAAGGTAAATAACATTTTAGTAGTATTGTGAAAAAATTTTTTAACTTGCAGACCCCCTGAAAAAGTTTCAAGGACCTCCCAGGGTCTGCAGAGTAAACTTTGAGAACTTGTCTTTTAAGATAAATCCCTAGAAGAATTTTTTAAAAAATCATTACTGTTTTATTTTAATGACCAAACCTGAACTTTTGGTTGATAGGTATTTCATCCTTTCATACATCTAGTTATAAATTGTTTGGGTCTATTTTTGTGATCTTAATTTAAGACGTTTAATAGTTCCCTGTATTTCCTTTTTTCTTATTTTTAATTGATACAGTAATATTTTCACAGGACATAAAATTTAAACAGCATAACAGGGCATTCTTAAAAAGTAAGTCTCCTTCCTATCACAGAGCCCACACTACTCTTTTCCAGAAGCAACCACTGCCAACACATTTTGGAGGCTGTACCTTATCAACACATATAGATCCACTTCATTTATCTTTAAATGCCTATGACACATACCGCCACACTGCCCTCTAGGAAGGTTGTACTGGTTTACCTCTAACCAGCAGTGTGAGAATGCCCATTCCTCACATCTTTCCCAAAAAGAGGTATTATATACAAAACTAATTTGTTTTATTGTTTAATTTGTATCTCTTTGAATTCTAATTCCCTGAACAATTTTTCGTTTTCTTAGTGAGCATTTAATCGATTTTTCTATTTTTGTGAAATACCTCTATATGTCCTTTGTCCATTTTTCTATTGAGGTGCCAGTCTTTTTGTTAATAATCTGTATGAGCTTTTATAATAAGGGTAGTAATCTTTTGACTGTTAAATGTTGTTAATATTTTTGTTCAGTTTATAAATGTTTGATTTTTACTGAAATTTGACTTTATATCATATAACATCATAGCTAGTAAGGGTTTAAGAGCATCAGACCAGAACAACCCTTTCAATTTACAAATGAGGAAGTTGATACAAACTGGTGAAGTGAATTGCCCAAGGTCACAAGTTAGTGAAAAGGCTTAGATTAAGATCCAGAGGGGGCCGGCCTGTGGCTCACTTGGGAGAGTGCGGTGCTAACACCAAGGCCACGGGTTTGGATCCCTATATTAGGATGGCTGGTTAACTCACTTGGGAGAGTGTGGTGCTGACAACATCAAGTCAAGGGTTAAGATCCCCTTACTGGTCATTTAAAAAAAAAAAAAAAAAGGGCCGGCCTGGTGGCGCACTGGATAGTGCACCGCTTGGGAAGCGTGGCGGCGCTCCCGCCCGAGGGTTCGGATCCCACATACAGAACGGTTCCCGCTCACTGGCTGAGCGAGGCGTGGGAGCAACACCGAGGGTTGCGATCCTGTTGCCGGTCCCCGGTCCGGTACGGGGGCAACACTGAGGGTTGTGATCCGTTGCCGGACACGGAAAAAAAGACAAAAAAAAAGATCCAGAGCTTCTGACTCTTTCCTTGATGGATGCAAGGACGACATACCTGGATTCAAATGGATCCTGCTTCTCCAGAGGTCTTACTCTTTTCTTTGTCACTGCCAGTTTAGTTAAGTCCACATACTTCGTCTCTCCAGTGCTGTAAGTGAACTCAAGAACACTATTCCATTCCCCTTGTACTTTGCATACCACAGTGCTGGTGATGTTGTGCTTTACTTCAGCTGTAACCCTAGAAGCAGGTGGAAAATAAAGATACACTCTAATAAGTGATATCAGGTTTGTTTCTCAGGATTCTGAAACACAAGAACACACCCTGTGAATCCTCTTTAAATTAGTTATATAGCTCACTTGAATTTGTCAGTGCCAAACTCAGACTCTGTAAATCCCATGAGAGCTTCCTTGATAATGTTTTCAAATAACATCAATTTTAATCTTCATAAAGAACACTAGGAATCAATTACCATAAATGAACAAAGTGTGGTATTTAAAATTCTTGCTACAAACAAAACTATTATAATAAGACTAAATAGAAATACAAAAATATTAACATTTTCTTTTTATTACAGTCTAAAAATGTTGCAAAATTAAAATGTACTTAACTTTTACTAGTTAGTTCTATTTATTTAAAAATTTGGAGTCCCTATATTGAGGTTCTAGATAGATCAATTCTGTATTAAACTACATAAGCCTAATTTTAAGTTAAATATAGAAACCAGACAAATCAATAAGAGTTAGAAAAAATATGAGTATATTAAAATTTTTTAAATTCTCTTGCTGAAATAGAAAAATTAAAAAAGCATAGTGTACAAAAATTATCATTATCACCACTGAACTCAGAGAGACCTCAAACACTACTGCTGTTGAATTTTAATGAAGAGTTATCTGGCTGTTTACCAACAGACAGCTGCACTGATGCAGCTCACATATATCAATAGGTATGGGCCAGAAATAGGAACAGAACTAATTATTTTATTTTATGTTTTTGGTGGCTGGTTGCTATGGGGATCTGAACCCTTGACCTCAGTGTTACAATACTACACTCTAACCAAGTTAACCAGCCAGGCTGGCCTAATTATTTTTAATGAAGTGTTTCATGTTCACTGTAGGACACAACAGGGTCAGACTAGATTAAGATTGGTTCAGAACTCAGGGAAGAGTGGGCAAAGGTTAGGGTGTAATCAGTGTGCCAGAGATTACGGTTTATCTGAATTCAAAAGGGAATACAAAAGACCAAAGCTGAGAGGTTCAGGCAATAATTTAGGAATCCTAACTGGCATCATCAGGTTTAAGTCAAGGGAATAAAAAGGACAAAGCAGAACTTAGGAATTTAGTAGAATTTAGTAGAATTTAGAGCCCACGGTATTTAGTAGGAGAATAAAAGGTTTCAAAGCAGAGGCAGGGGTATAAAGAGCCCAATAAGCAAAGGAACAGTGAGATATCTTAGAGATGAAGGTATACAAAGGTTTAGAATTCAAGAGCAAAACAAACATTCAAAATCAAAAGACAGGAGCAACTGTAGCTCACTGAACACAAGAAACACCACGACTACAGGTCTGTTTGATTACAGCAGGGGTAGGAACTCTGGGTTATACCTCACAGCATATGAACTTAAATAACTACACTGCTAAGGGGTCTCTTGCCAGGCTGAACGTTTCTCATGATGTCATTGCATGTTTCCTTCTGATCCCACTTGCCAACATCCTTCCCTTCCTTGAAAATTTATCTCTAACCAAACGAGATCTGAGGAGATGACACTGAGTATTTATTTCTTCCCTTCTCCATCCATACATACTAAGAACTATATTCTAAGAACTGAAGAATGATAACACATTCGTCACTTGATTTTTATTTTACTGCCACAACATAATCTCTCAAGTTTTCTTTATCTCCCAAAAGCCTTTCTACTCGACATATATCAACCCTAGGTCCCTGTTCATGATCACTGGATTATACAGGGTCCCTACTGCTTAGAGCTGCTGCACGGCAAGAGCAACACGAAGAGAACTTGGGCAGAAACAGGAATCACACATATTCATCAGGAACTGTAAAGGAGCATGAGGAAGAAGGGCCTCACTTCACTTTGCTTATAACAATTCTTCACAACAGTCTAATATGGGGTTGGCAAACTTCTTCTATAAAGGACCAGAAAGTAAATATCTTAGGATTCTCAGGCCAGACTGTCTCTGTTGCAACTACTTTACTTTGTCACTGTAGCACGAAAGCAGCCACAGACAAGTAAATGAATGGGCATGACTGTGTTGCAATAAAAATTTACTTACAAAAACATGTTGGGCCAGATTTGGCTGAAAAGCCATAGTCTGCCAATGTCTGCTCTAATTTAAAACGTACAAAGAACTTTCACAGCTATAATTTCATCAAACTCATTTTACATACCAACATACTGCTCCTTCTGCCTGACATGCCCTTCCTCCCTGGCTTTATTCCTCATCCTTCAAGACTCATCTCAGGCATCATCTTTCTAAGAAAGCCATGTCTAATCTTCTGGACTGAACTGCATGCTTACATTGTGTGTACTTAGGACAGTAATCACATGGGAATGTTATTATTGGTTTGCTACCTCCCTCACTAAGACTGTAAGCTCTAAGACATGGGATGGGTCTCAACTCTATATCCTCAGTTAGTACTTAGCAGAGTGTCTGGTAAACGGCAGGTGCTTAATATATGTTGCTTGAATTGATGAATGAGAAAACTAAGCCCCAAAGAGCTTAAATCATGTGCTCAAATTAATATCACTGCCTAGAATGAGCTAGTGCGAGCAAAAGCATACACTGTAGAATGCCAGTGTCTATGGAGAGTTAACATATGTAGAATATTTACAATACACTGAGCATTTTATATATATTATGTCAAGCCTTATGACTATCTTATTTCTATAGATGAGGACACTGATGCTCAAAAATTTAGGTAATTGCCCTAATTCCCATAGCTATTATATGATAAAGTCAGGATCTGAATACAGGTCTGATGGATCCAAAGCCCAAGTTCTTGTCAATAATTTTAGGTACAAATTTCCTTAAAACAACTTGACCTCAGGTCTGATATTATCATCATTTTGTAGCTATGATAGATAAAACTGAGGTACTTCAGAGAAATATTTTACAGGACAAAGGGAAATTGTGGAAATAACCCAAAGAAATGAAGTTTAGCTCTGCTTAGAGCCAGCTGTCACTCTGCTTCCACGCAGCAGCATAGACTTCCTGTCCAAACAGAAAGTAAAAGGCCAAGTTTACGAATTTAGTAAGTAAAAGCTTGTACCAAAATTTGAAAACTACCATAGGAAAAGTACATTTAAAAGTTATACCAATGACCGGGCCGGCCCGGTGGCGCACTGGAGAGTGCGCCGCTTGAGAGCCTGGCGGCTCTCCCGCTGAGGGTTCGGATCCCACGTGGAGACCGGTTCCCACTCACTGGCTGAGCGCGGTGCGGGCGCGACACCGAGGGTTGCAATCCCGTTACCGGTCAGTAAAAAAGACAAAAAGGAAAAAAAAAAAAAGTTATACCAATGATTAACATGAGGCAAAGGAAGTTAGGTTATGGTCACTGATTTCTAACCTTTTTTTTTTCTATGGTGATTTCTAATCTTGGAGAAATTCTGAATACTCAATAATTCTTTAAGTGTAGTCTGGTAAGCATACAAAGAGCATGGTTTTTGAATCAGACCAGTTCTGCTGAGTGCCTTGAGAGCCTAAATTTCCTCACCTATAAAATGGACAAGCTAATACTTTCCCTCATAGGGGTGTTGAGAGATTTTAGATAATGTTTATAAAAACACTTATGTACTTTTTTAAAGTAAATTTTCATACATGGCCATCCAGAGTAGACAAAAGTTAAAGCTGTGATCGAAAGCCATGATTTTACTGGAATACATCGACTTGATACGTCTTCTTCTCCTGCTAAACTCTGTACCTCAGAGCAGTCATTTCTCCATCTCTCTTGTCTGACAATAACTGGGCTATTAGTTTGTCTTTCAAATATGTAAACATTATTTGGGACTATCACTGACTAAGATGACGAAAATACTTCAAATAAATTGTACGCATCATCTAACCATTGCTTTAGATGAGGATCCTTATGAGCCAAGGGTAGTTTTAAGAAGCAATTTTACCAAACGACTGACTATATTTTGTAAAATACAGTTAGATGAACTCTGCCAAAACAAAGTTAGATGTTCAAATGTAAGATATGAAATAATTTCCTCTAATAGTTTAAGACAATGGCTTCTTGTAGGTGCTCTCTAGGTGCTAATATAATACGACCACTATGAAGCAAGTTCTCAAAATTCAAGTCAAATTCTGGATCCTTTTATGGCTGAGGCAATTGAAAGGCCTTCTTAAAATTATGAAGATTAAAAATATTTCTAACACAGAAATCTAAGATGTCAACAAAGCACTTGCCAAGGCATTTAAGCAGACGAGAATTTTCTCTCTGACAAAAATTCTGCCTCTCTCCAAAACTCAGGCTTATGAAGATGAAATGGTCCTATATCTGGGTAAGAATGCAAGTTAAAATTTCATTTTCAACGAAAAAAAAAAAAAAGGCTTTCTTGTCCAAACTTGTAAAATCTAACGCATGTAGATTTTGTGTCAATAAGTGACATAAAATACAGAATATGCTGCCCTTAAGGTACTTACCAAGAACTAAATATTACATTGTTATCCCACTCATCACTAAAGCTAGGATAATTGATAACTGATAAAACATCTGCTTTCTCTCTTTCTAAAGCATTGACATGTAAGCCTTTTAGATTTTCTAGACCCTGTTTTATAAGCTATGTGGGATACTGGATATATTAACTTAGCTTCAAATAGAAAAGCTTTTATTGACTGAAAGTTAAGACTTTACTTTTGGGTTTTATTGATGATATATATAAGAAATACATAAAGGGTAATCACATTTTATGCAGAATTACTGAAGACACAGTTTATTATGTTATTCAATGCCACTATGTAAGGATATATGCAACAAATCCCTTTAGAATCTACTGCCAGGAAAATAGTATCTCTTGAAAAAGTGATATGCTTCCTTTATCAGACAATGAGAAGTATGTTTAGCATCATGTTTTTTTATTTTAATAGATTAGTTATAACTAAATTGCATTTTCAGTTATAGCAATCATCTAATCCTAGCTTCACAGTATTATTTTTGTCTTTTCCTATCTTTATGATTATTATGACAAACTTTATTTTTAACTATTATATATGAGTTTTT